ATTGCAAATGAGAATGCAAAATATTGGCTTGTCGGAAAAGTCATGACAAATTTTTGCAACGAAAAACATACAAAAAATACGTCATGACTTTTCCGACAGCCCAATAGAAGGCCATTTTGGAAAATACTAGTTCTGTAGTTTCTTACAAAGATAAACATACTTACCATATGCCTAGCAATTCCACTTTCATTATTTACCCAAAAGAAGTAAAAACAAATGTTCATATAAAAACATGTACACAAATGTTTACACCAGCTTTGTTCATAATTGCTATAACTTGAGAACAATCTAAATGTTCTTCAGCTGGTGAATGGACAAACTGTGGAATACTACTCATCAATCAAAAGAAACCAATTACTGATAACCACAACATATGTGAGATGTGATCAAAAACTATGGTGAATGTGTAAATTTTTTTTTTAATGTATTACAGTAAAAGACACATTGCCATTAATCACCCTCAGAATATTACCCCTCAGTTCGAACACACTTATCCCATCACTCTTGCCACTTTCTGAAGCAATTCTGAAGTCCTCTTTCATGAGTGTCTTTAGTTGCGCTGTTGTGGCTGCCTCAATGTCCTGAATCATTCTGACTTTGGCGAAGAGCCAGAAGTCACATGGTGCCAGATCCATGAGGTAGATGAGGACACACCATAATGTTTTTATTTGACAGAAATTGCCATACCAGAATAACTGAACCAGACGAACTGAACACTAAAACTGGTGGATTTTATCATATGTAAATTACACCTCAGTAAATCTGATTTTCTGAAACACATGGAACAAGAAAAATGAAATTCATTTTCAATGTACACTCCTGTATATTGTCAGTGCTGGTGTCTGACATGCCCTTTGCTACTTGAACCCCCACACCCCTATCTGAAAGAAGGATTATTCTGATCTTTAGGGAACCAAGATCAAAGTCCACCAAGCTTCTACCCTTGAAGGAAACACAGAAACATTAAAATAGTGTTAGTATTTATGAACACCAATTCCTGAAAAAGTCTAAAAGTCCTTATGAAAATGACTAGCATTTTCTAAATTTTAAAGGTAAAGTGCAGATGCAAATTCTGATCATGTCCAGGGATAATACAATTTTTAGCTCTAGCTCTCAGCTGTTGTCCTGATTTTGTGTAAGAAAACTCCACTTAGACTTCATAATTCTATATACCATTCCCATAGCTCCTCCTAGCTACCGCAGCCCCAAGTCTTAAATTCCAGAGATTAGATAAAGCCTCTGTATCACAGCTAATAAGCCTTAATGCTCTTTAAGAGTCAATGCTTTTGACAGGTTTTGCAGAATAAACTTATTTTCCCAGAGTAGTAGATTTTCTTGCCAGGCAGTATTTGATTTCAGAATTGCACTAAGTTCTAGCACTTCAGGTTTCACTACTGCATGCACCTACATTTCAGCAGAGTATTAGGAAATTCTGACCTGGGCTCCAGCCCTTGGGGGTTTGGGTAGAAAACAAACCCCTGTGGAGACTTACACTCACATTTCTGGGGCCTCCACCCTCCCCACCTTCAGGGACCAGGATGCAGTAAATCCTGTCATTAGATTGTTTGTAGTTGAAGAATGGTGGCCAGCAATGTGGCTTTGTTCACTTGTTAATTCACAAGTTTGGCCTCCTGCTTTTGAACAATTCCCGAAAGTAATGATCATTTTCTTTTCAGAAGAAACATGTCTCCAAAGAGCTGAGATTAATTTTTCTACAATGAGGTTTTTTCCTTTTATAAATGGAAAGAAGGAGTTGTAAGAGTTGCTTAGAGGGTACAGTGGCACTAAGGTGAGAAGGTGACTGATCTTACAGACCTTCAGCTTCAATGTCATTTTTAGATGGAAGCTTCTCGGGTTAAATACCACATAATAAACATAACAACTGTTTTAAGTCCAAAAACTATACTTCTTTATCTGACAAAGTCCTGGGCAAATCATGCTGTAAGAAATGTTCTAAGTTTTAAATAAACACCATAATACAAAATTCTATTTACAGTCTAATTGCATGTATGTTAGAGAAAATAAACAGAAGAAATGGAAAGAAGTACAAACACACAAAAATATTAAAACATTTTTGTAATAATGGACCTAAGCAGTATTTCCCTAAACTTTATTTTTCTCTAAAATATATTTTTAACATCCCTGAAGTGTTAGAAACCTAATATATTTTAACAAACACATCATACAACATCAGGCAGGCTTTGATTTAGGGGTGAGGGGTTATTTGTTTGTTTGTTTGGTTGGTAAACAAGGTGAAATGAATATGCATTAGTCACAAAACTTGGAAAATCACATTTGTCAAATGTCGATAAAGAAATATGTGAACATGCCCAAGAAAATCAGTCACAGCCACTAACAAAAATGAAATCTCGATTTTGTTTTCATACTCATTTTTCCTGCTGGTTAGTTTCACTCTCCTACCGAACACCTTCCTTGGAGAATTCTAACAGGATATAGAATGAAATCCAAACTCCTTCTTTTTTTAAGAGAACATTTGAATAGTGCAGCTATGTGCCAGGGACCACTTCAAGCACTTTTTAAATATTAACTCATTTCATCTAAGCAATTCTTCAGGTTAGCACTTAGCATTCCTGACTTGGTTCCACAATACTTCCAGCCTTTCCCCAGCTCTTCTGGGGCCTGGAACCGCCATTCTGCTCGTGGGGCCTGGAACACACTCACAGGCACCCCTTGTCCTCTGCTCACCTCTGCCCCAGCCCCATGCCCCAAATCCACAGGCTCCAAGCCTGTGCTCATTAACTCTTCCCAAATCCTCCTGGTCAGAATTCCTCCCTTCCCTGTCACTCTTTGTGCTGCCAGAAAGACAAACCATTTCTGAAGAACATAATCTCTTCCAGGAATTAAACCTAGTAGAGCTTACATGGTCTTTCTCTTGTCTCCTCTGCCCTCATGGCCTGACTCAGTGCTGTCCTGCGTAACAGAAGCTGGTCAGCACGGAAATGTCACGTAAATACATCCATTTAACCCAGAAAATAAAGACCGACACTAAAGAGAGTCTTCAGCACCTGCGTGCATAGAACATACATTGTCCCATATCATTGGTTTATTGCCCAAATTGTACACAAATGATCACACTATAATTTATTTAATGAAGTTAGTAAGCACATTCTCTGTGCCAAGTATTATGCTGAGCACTTTATATGCATCGGAAGTTAGAATATTCCCCAGAAATTATCCCATAGAAGGACTAGTCTCATATTCAAGTCATTATAAGTAAGGTTCTCACATTGTGGAGGGTTCTCCATTTTTCTGAAAAATAATATGCTGTTTGGGGAAGAAACATTAGCCTGAACTAATTCAATCATGCTAATATAGAAACCATCTAATGAAATCCTTTTTTAAAAATGGAACCAAGAGACAAAGAAATTTAACATAGACATATTAATGATTCCCGGGGCATGATTTTACAACGCTAGTGCTAGAAAAATTGTAAATAAGGTTTGTAAAGATCTCTTAAAAGAAAAAGTAACAACAAATTGGTACGTTGTGGAACCACAAATGGTAAGTATACAAATGCAGGGAGGAAAAAAAAATACTTAAAGGTGTGAGAATTCGTAGTTGAGGCTGGAGGTAAAACTTATAATGCCATCATCATATATGGATTTAAAACAAACTCTGCAGCAAACATCTCAGAAGAAAGCAAAGATGTACTCTGGAAAACTCTGCTTAGAAAAAAGACTCAAAACGGCACTCTAATGAGCACAAACACTGGAATCAGAGATGCCTGTTAAAGAGTTTGAACAAAATGTCTGTGTGAAATGTGAAAAACAAAAATTTACAGTGTTACATATTCATATTTCAGATCACATCACATGTGTCATTATTACATTTCATTTCCATCATGTATATATCATATATCAAATGGACCCCCAAAAGGAATGTGCTTGATCTTCTCATTGGAAAAACAGGGCCTTGCCTTACATCAGAGTCCCCTTAAATGGGAGCATAGCTGGTGCATGGGGTATCACGCCCATTTCACAGATGAGGAAGTGCAGCTCAGACGTTAAGAAATTCGCCAAAGTCACACAGCTGTTTAGAGCAAAGCCGCCGGACAAAGTTCGTGTTCACCCCTGCAGCCTCCATACCAGAGGCTACTGCGTCTTCGCTGATGCCAGGAGCAACATCTAAATTGTTTCCTTGCCCAGCGGGCTCCGCAGAGGAAGCATACACTTCTTAAACACCACGTAGCCTGACCAGGCTGGAAAGCTTTCCCACCATCCTTCCCTAAGGCTTGAAACAGGTGGCCTGCAAAAGCTAATTAAAGAAGCCCTCCGACCCCTTTGAAGACGCCTCAATTTTATACAACCTTTGCCATATAAGATAGAAATTAAAATACTGGAAAGGTATCAGGGGACTGAAAAACAGTCCCCTTCTTGTGTGCTGACACACATTTGTTAAATGAACTCCAGCCTAGATTTCCTGTATTTGACCGGAAGCTCTGAACAGCAGTCGCCGTAACACACTCACATGCAAATGCGTACTCAGTCTTCTTGGTTTGCTCCAATTTTCAGAATAGCCTCACGGTAACCAAATGAGATGCGCAACAAGGCACAAACAAGAATGTGCAAGCATCAGGACACAAAATGTCAAGGGTGGGGGTGGGTACCACCAGGAGTGAGGCTCCTTTTCGTTTCAGGTAGATTTACTTAAATCTTATGGCAGTAAGTGTAACATTTTAAAAGACAAATTTATACCATAAATTTTTTAGGTGATTTATTTAAGCGTTTATTCAATTACATATGAGAACAAGAATATACTAACCTCTCATTCAATAGAAAGATAAAATAAAAGTGTCCAGAAAATCTATTTTTGCTCAAAATCCTAACACCTCTGAAAGATAACATCACAGTGGTTTGAAGAGAGCCCATATAGATGTCCACACGTTTTAACTTCCTTTTATCGCCCCCCGCCCCGTCCTTCCACAGAGATGGAAGAGTCTCTTCCAGCCCTTACGGAAGAGCCTGGCACCCTTAACTCACCTGAATGTGCATGGCGCCCTCTACTGCCTCCTGAATGTTGGAACAACCAGTGATGAGTGACAGCTGCTGTTCAGCACTCAAAGTGCCTTTCAGAGCACCCAACTGCTCCAGCAACTTCATTTCTTTTCTAGAAAGATGGAAAGTGTGATCACTGTGCATTTTCAAAACCAAACTTAAAAACAAAAAAAGTCAACATCACTTCCCGGTAGGGAAATGCCTATCAAAACCACAGTGATATGCCATTTTCACACCCATTACTGGCTACTGCCAAAAGAACAGACAATGACAGGCATGAAGAGGACGTAGAGACCTGAAAGCCTGTGCACCACTGGGACGAGGGTAAAAGGTGCAGACACTGTGGCGAACAGTTTGGTGCTTTCTCCAAAAGTTAAAAATACAACTACCATCTGACCCAGCAACTCTACTTCTGGGGACAGACCCAAAAGAACTGATAGCAGAGACTCAGGTATTTGTACCTCCCCATTCGGTGCAGCACTGTTCACAACAGTCAAAAGACAGAAACAACCCAAGGGTCCATGGATGGATGACGGATAAACAAAGTCCATCTCTACAGTGGATGCTATTCAGCCTTAAAAGGGGAGGAATCCTGACACAGCCTACATCATCCATGAACCCTGAGGTCATTATGCTCAGTGAAATATGCCAGTCACAGGAGGACAAGCACTGTGTGATCCCACTTAGATGAGTCCCCAGAAAGGAATTATTGTCTGATGGGTCCAGGATTTCAGTTTCATAAGATGAAAAGAGCTATGGAGATGGATGGTTGTACAAAAATGTGAATCTACTTTTAACATCACCAAATTGTGCACTTAAATTTATTATGATAGTAAATTTTATGTGCATTTTACAATTACATTAAACAATTTTTTTAAAGGATGAAACAAGGCCCATGGGACATAAAACTGGAAAGCAGTACTTCTTCAGCCTCACCCTTCAGTCAGTCCCTGGGGAGAGGAGTTGAAAGAAGGTACCTTCTAATCAGGACGAGCCAGCGTCCTGGTGTGACCTGTACAATCACACAGGGCCCCGTGCTTGGAGGGCCCTGTGCTGGGTTTAACGCTCTGCTGTCATTAAAATTCTTAATGCATATTGAGCAAAAGGCCCCACATTTTCATTTGTACTCTGCCTCACAAATTAGTTCTGCTGAAAATTCATGACATGTCAAGTAACAAGGCCAAGTGCATATATAAACACACACAGTTGCCTACACAGCAATAATCATGCTTTCCAAAAATTTTGTGGATTTTTTACCAGTGAGTCAAATAATTTTTACCTCCTTTCTCATCACAGTTTTTACCTTTAAGCTGCCAGAGTCCTTCAGCCCAAGAACATATCTCTTCACCTCCCAAATTACATGCTAAGTAGTGTCTTCAGATCCGACTTCAGATCAAACCACTATGCCCGTAATACCTGGTCTCTAACGTATTTTGTGATTTTCAATTGTGAGCTGAACTTTATCTGTGGGAATTCTTTGAGCCTTGGATTTAGGGTCTATTAGTCTGGGGATAATATGCATTTTGCTTCTAACAGGCACTTGGAGACACTACTAACCAAGGGTCCAATCTGAACTCTTGCTTTGCAGTTTTTGAGGTCACACAGGTAGTATGAATTTGGGCTTCAAAACTCTAAGAGGACTGGTTTCTCCCCTCAACCCAGAGTCAAGGCCAAACTAGATGGCCCTCAATGTATGGGCGAGTTACAGCCTTCCTAGTTCTCCATTTCACCAACAATATAGCCCCTGGAGTCCTAGCTTCATTCAGTGATATCCCCTTTGATCTCCATCTTGCACACACTAAGGCTTGCTGTTAGGACCAAAGCTCTAGGTCACCAACACTGGCAAATCCTCGGAGAACAGCTGTACATTTCATGTGTCATTTGGGATCATGCTCCAGATTGGCCGCCGAGAATTTACATTACTTTCTTGCCAGTGCATCTATGCATTATAAAGAAACTCTGAACTATACATTTATTTACTCAATATTTTTAGATATTTGAAGTAGGAAGGATTTTCAGGATACTTACTTTGCCATATTGCCAGAAACTAAACTCTAGACTGTTTCTTTGAAGTCTAATATTCCTAGATACTAGGTGTATTTTATATTTCATAACAAAAGGGAAATATTCACTGTCTTCATTTTTGTAATGATTATAAGTTATTCAATGTGAACATGAGCTCTACTATACAAATAAATTTATAATACACAATTATTAAGTGATTACATTATGGTTCTTGTTCATATGTACAGAAAAAAAATTACTGATTTTTAGGGTTATTACTGCTAAGGCCTAGTCATTTGTTTCTCAGTTTTGCCCATTTGGAAAAATATATATATAAATAATATTTGAATCAAATAAACACTTAGACTTAAAAACAAATGGAGATATTTAAACAAGATGCATCAAAACACAAAGTTTTTTGTTTTTTTGGTTTTTTTTACTTAGTCTAGCTTGTTCCTTTTGGTGATACAGAAATTAAGGCCCAAATTGTTTAGACACGCCCACACACATAAAGCTGCGGGAAGCAGGATGGGACCAAAACCATCTCCTGACTCTCCTTAACCCATTTAATAGGAACAGTTTCCTCTTCCTACGAAACCACAATGGCTCTCTTATTTAAAAAACAAAATATATTCAGGACTACTTGGTACAATTTATTGGCTTAAAATATGAAGATTCAAGGTACCCAATATTCAAGGTACCCAGAAAGGAACTTCCGTGCATTTCCTCCCTCGCAAATGCTGCTGACACCTGAGTCCCAAACCACTGAGCTTGAATTCTGCAGGGCTCCTGTGTTCCCTTCAGGGAACCCCAGGGCACCGAGCAAACCCTCCATCTCCTTTCAGGGTTTCATTACCGGCAGGTATGTCAGGGTGGGTCCCATATGAGCCAATCCTGTGGCTTCCCGGACTGCACCTGAGATGGGAGGCTGAACCAGAGACCACCTGGTGCACAGAAGGACCTGCAGCTTGGCTCCCAAGGGCAGCACAGTGGGAGCCTGTGCTAATGGCACCTGGTCAACTCTCTTGGACAGTTTGAAATGAAGAGCCAGAAAGTGGACTGGTCAAGGGCAGGACAAAGAACAGATGGACAGCACAGTGGTGGCCCTTAGAAAGGCAGGACCTCAGACAAGAACCTGCTATGATACAAACCCCCTAGGTGCCACGAGTTACCAGAGCTGCTGCCTGACCATCAGAGGCTCAGATACCCCTGAACAATGTCCCGCTCCTGTAATAGCAATGGCTTTCTGTACTCCTTCCTTTCTCGCAGCCTCACACTCAGTCCCCATCGAAAGGTGCAATCTAAGTACCTCCACCCTTGAGAACCTGACAGGGCCTAGCACTTACTTTGCTCAGAGATTCGATGGGCCTGTGGGCTGAAGGAAATTACAACACATCTAAACTCCTCGGTTTTGAACTTTGTGATTTATTTAAATTAGAACTGCAGCCTCAGCTAAGGCTGGGAGTCAACAAGACTGGTAAGAGTTAACTACATTGCCCATAAAAATAACCAGAATAAAAATGTTCAAATCTCAGCAAAGCTGTTTGTAGCTACCAAACAAAAGAAATCACTTCAGGTGAGTTGATAAATGTTTGCTACCACAGAGAAACAAGTAAAAAATTTAATAGAGTGTTTCTGTTCCTTTTCTAGAACTATTTTCTTTTCATAGCTTATTCTGTGAAATTTTTTTTAAAAATGGAGAAAGAATAATAAACATCTCCATATTTCTATTGGGCTGTCGGAAAAGTCATGACACATGTTTGCAACAGATGGCACTAGTTCATTTTTTGGAAGTACTAGAGTCATTTGCATCTATGTTATTGCTATGTCATTTGACAGCTGACAGTTCTAGCTTCATTCTAAAAAAAATTGAGCGATTTGGTTGAGTTTTGGAGATTTTACAACAANGAAGTACTAGAGTCATTTGCATCTATGTTATTGCTATGTCATTTGACAGCTGACAGTTCTAGCTTCATTCTAAAAAGAAACTGAGCGATTTGGTTAAGTTTTGGAGATTTTACAACAAGTTGAAGATGAAAGACTAAACTGTGCATTTTTGCCATATTTTACTGTTTTACTTCCATAAAGGGAAGAACGCGCATCAAGCTTGTGAAAAGTTGCATACAGTTTACAGTGACAATGCTCTACAAGAACGTCAGTGCCAACGATGGTTCATGAAATTCCGTGCCGGTGATTTTGATCTCAACGACAGCCCTCGGTCAGGAAGGCCCACCGAGGTTGATGACGACAAAATAAAGGCATTGATGGAGTCGAACCCATGTTACACACACGAGAGATTGCAGAAACACTGAACATCCATCATTCAAGCGTTCATGACCACCTGAAGAAGCTGAGATACGTAAGCAAGCTCGGTATTTGGGTTCCGCATGAACTCAAAGAAGTTCATTTGATGGCGCCTATAAACATCTGCAATATGCTCATTAAATGTAAGGAAAAGGATCCTTTTTTGAAGCGACTGATAACTAATGATGAGAAGTGGATTGTTTACAACAATGTGGTGCGCAAATGGTCTTGGTCCCGACATGATTTGCTTCAAACGGCATCGAAAGCAGACATTCATCAGAGGAAGGTTATGCTCTCATTCTGGTGGGATTTTAAAGGTGTTGTGTTTTTCTAGCTCCTACCAAGGAACCAAACAATCAATTTGAATGTCTACTGTTGGCAATTGGACAGTTTGAATGAATTCATCATCCAGAAATGTCCAGAGCTTGTTAACTGTAAAGGAGCTGTGTTCCATCATGACAACGCGAGAACAAACACAAGTTTGATCACCAGTCAAAAATTATTGGAGCTGGGATGGGATGTGTTGCCACACCCACCATACTCGCCTGACCTTGGGCTGTCAGACTTCCACTTGTTTCGCTCTCTTCAAAACTCCTTGCGTGGTATAATGTTCAATTCAGATGAGGCTGTAAATCAGCACTTTGTTCAGTTTTTCACAAATAAAGACAGGTCCTTCTATGAACGAGGAATTATGAAGCTCACTGAAAGATGGCAAAAGGTTATCGAACAAAACGGGCAATATATCAGATTGATCTTTGTTCTTTATATAAATGACCTTTGAAAAACATAGACAAAATACATCAT